CCCCCCTTTTTTTCCCAGTTTTTGACCATTTCTACTAAATTCCTCAATACATTTGAACTCAAGTGATTGCCTTGACAAAATATTCCATTTCGCAAGGAAGGAATCCTTTTAAAACATACATTTAAACAGAAGAATTCAGAATTATAGGCATAGCATTGAGTCAAAATGGAAAAAATTCCTTACCTTTAAGCTGGCAGCCGTATTTTTATAACAGGCGTTCATGCTTGCTTCTGCTATTTGATTCCACAAAATCATAAGCACGTATTTAATTGTGTGTGTAGGAGTTGCTTGTTGACCTTGGTAGGATCATGTAGGAGCATAGTTAAACATGCATATAAAACCCATGCATATTTGCAAAATCAATTATGCCTCTGTTTAACAAAAAGTAATTTCACATGGAAAATTTACTGTTAATACCATGTTACAAACTAGTCACAAACTAGGTAGAAACACTAGGCATTTATAAATATACTGGAATATCAAGAAGCTCCCAGCTTTTCTAACAGTGAAGGAGAACCCATCACACATAGCTATATGGACACGAACAGAACATACAATTGCTATTTATAGAACTAATGACTGTAAAACATTTGTGTGCCAATCTAGATATCTAGTGCGCTTTACAAGCAGAGAAGCAAGAATGTGTATCATCCAGACTGAGAAGGAGAGGGGATAGGAAATAAGTATCTGGCATCAGTGGAAAACTATTCTGTTTAGTTCCAAGCATCACTAGAAGAACCGAGCAGACAGTAAAAAGCAATTGCAGCTGTATCAAGAATATCCGTCGTTCCGAATTCAATCCTTCTGCTATAGCATTACCCATTCTAAGCAAGTGCCTTTCCTAACAACTTTGAAACGCTGTCCCCACCTTCATTTTACAGACCCCGGGAGATATTCCTAGGATTTAGTTTTATTAGCATATAAATAAGAAATTAAGAGTATAAAAGAGTTCAGGTCAAGTCATGTCTATGGACTTTGGCTGCCATGGACTGCTAAGCCCATCCTTAGGTCCTTTGATTCTTCAGATGGTATCTCCCACTACCTTCAGTATGGGGCAACAGGTTATTTATGCCACTGAATCAGCACTGACCCACTTAATCAAACAACAAATCCTGGTGTTACCTTTGGTCCACAGGACAACACAGCTGGCCTGCTATGCTTTCATACCCAGTCTGTTTTCTGCTGGTGTATGAGCGTTCATCATTCCCAGTACCTGCCATGGCTTAGGCTGCCCACCCAAATCCCTGCACTGCTCTCCCTTAACTCTCCTTTCTCTGTGCTCCTCATGTCTGTTTGGTTCCATCTCTCTTGTCTCCCTCTCCTTTGTATCCAGCCTGACCCTGCTCCTCCAGCTCTGTGTCCCAAGACCAGGTAAATGACAGCTGTCCCTCTTCTACCATCCGAGTTCTTTCCATTCCCTCCCACCCATCATTTTCCTGCTATTCTGCTCCATCTGGAGCTTTGTATCAGCAAATACAACATTCATGTTTTCTACTGCTACTCCTATATCTAAGCACAGCTCTGCTTTTATAAATGGTATAACAATCTCTCATAATAAACCTTCCCAAGAAATGATACCCCACAAAGACCAGCAATGATTTTAGGCCAAATCATTTTGCACAGGGAGAGCCAGAAGGGCTTAAAAATAAATTATTCTATTATTCTATTATTCTATTTATTCTAAAATAAATTAATTTCTATGTCTACATAAACTCTCTGAATCATTTGTTGTAGAGATACAAAAATTACTTCACCAAAAATGCTTTGGCAAGTTATACCTGAGCATGAGGGGAAGCATACAAAATTTCAGGAAGATAAATTCCAGCTCTCAGAAGCAGAGCTTGAAAAGTGGCTGAAACGAAAACTATTTGACCCTCAAGTAAGGAATGACTCCAGTACATTGTAATGGGAATGAGAGAGCCTCCTTTTCTCAGAGCAGGTTAAATAACCGGGTCTGCCGGGAGCTGGCCAGGCCAGACCCACATTCTAACTCACTGTTGAACATTTACTAGTATGAAAACCAAGAGGATGAAAAAATCGTCATTGATTTCTCTTTTCTTTTTTTCTTCCACCCTTCTAAAACTATATAAATTAAGGAAACAGTGTAAAACTGGGGTAGAGTTGAAGCCAGCAATGTGTATTATTGTTTCCTTGTGAAAGGACAGGTTCTTGTCCATGTCTTAAATTTAGCATCTGTTTGTGTTCAAAATAGCATAGGAACAACTGTGAACATTTTAGACCCCTTCAGAAAAGGGTGAAAAAGAGCTGCAGAATTACTGGGGGAGGAGAAGTCCAAGTGCTTTAACTGAGTGCATCTACACTAAAAGGAGGCCTTTTTAAAGGCTTCCTTGAAACACAATATTGTCTTCCAGGGTTAATCCAGGATAGTAATAATTAATTGTAAATTGAGAAACGGCTTTAATTCTTCAAAACTAGAAAAACCTGATGCACCAAGCCCACTCATTTAAAGGGATAGCAGAAAGAAGACAATGTGGCCTCACAAAGTGGGAGGCTTGCAAACTGTTTAGCTTTTAGAACTGAAAGCGAAGTGGGAATGAAATTCTCTCTCTCTCTCTCTCTCTCTCTCTCTCTCTCTCCCCCCCCCTCATAAATTTAGCATCAACAAATGTTTTTAACGTGCATTTGTTTGCTGGATTAATGTGATTTATGTCTTGTATCGAGTGATCTGTAGTGGTGTTCTTTTTGGCTATCTGGACATAGTTTTTCATGAACACAAATCACTGCAATTACATGACCAGTAGAAGGGAGAAGGTTGATCACCAGTGATAAAGCCCAAGATGGATTAGTGTCATGTTTCTTATATCTTTGTTCCTTATCTTAAAAAGCCATCCTTAGTCGCTTTTTTCTGGTCCAACTCTTACACTTTTTTTATTTGCTTGTTTCCTGCTACTTGAGTGAGAACCATTTAAGATATTGGTAGGTTTTCTTAGTGCAAACAGAAGGGCTTTTAAGTTGCAGTTTCATGAACAGCTTTTTACTCATGGAAGTGGCATAATTTTGAGGAACCAAAGATTTTAGTGTAGTATGGTATGGCGGTATGTTGAAAATATTTAAAACAATGCCATTTGAGTGTCTTTACTGGTCATGTTCTGTCAATTTGCATTGCTATGAAGATACTCTGGAAGATACCTAGAAGCCATCAGGAAAAATCGAGTTCAGATTGGATTGTGCAACAAAAAATAGTAACTACTGTGATGAAACCAAAAGAATAATGAGTAATAGAGTTGAACCCATACTGTTTCTGTAATATTGGATAAGTTTATGCTTGCTTATTTTGACTGTAACTTCCACTTGTATTCTTGAAACATTATGATATGTAAGAAACTGCTGCATTGTAATCTTTATTTTGTCTGTTTTTAAAGGCATACGATGGGTTTGCCAGTTTAGGAATATCGCGATTGCTGGAACCTTCTGACATGGTTTTATTAGCGATACCTGATAAACTGACTGTTATGACCTATCTCTATCAAATAAGGGCACATTTCTGTGGCCAGGAATTAAACGTGGTTCAAATAGAGGAGAACAGTAGCAAAAGCACATATAAAGTGGGTAACTATGAAACAGACACAAACAGTTCTGTCGACCAGGAAAAATTCTACGCAGAGCTGAACGACCTGAACCGGGAGCCTGAGCTGCATCCGCCGGACAGTGCTTTGGCAGACTTTGCTTCTCAGGATGACTCCGTATTTGTAAATGACAGTGGTGTTGGCGAATCTGAGAGTGAGCATCAGACTCCTGATGACCATTTAAGCCCAAGCACAGCTTCCCCTTCTTCTCGCAGGACTCGAAGTGACACAGATCCACAAAAATCCCAGCAGAGCTCTGGAAGGACTTCTGCGTCTGAAGACGTTGGGAAGTGTAGCAGTACAGATACAACGCAAGCGCAGCCTACATTGGGAAGGAAGAAATTGCTGATAGCTGACACTTTAGACTTGAGTGACTTGGCACATGTCAGTGATCAAAAAGAGGACGCGTCTCCCACAGTTGCTTGTGAAGATAACGACAAGAAGAGACACCAGAGCTCAGAAAGTACCATTGGTTTCTCAGAGCAAGAAAAGCTGGGATGTATAGGATCCACAGAGAGCACAAGAGCAGATCCTGGTTCACCTGTCACAAAGCCGAGTTTATCTCCTACTTCTAAGCTTGGATACTCCTATAATAAGGATACGGATCTTGCAAAGAAACCACATGCTTCTCCGAGGCAAACAGAATCTGATTCTGACAGTGATGCCAGAACGGCTTTAAATCATGCAGATCAAACTGCAAAAACAGCCCAGGTAAGAAATTTAAACTTTCTGTATGCCTGTGAGTTAGGATGAAGGTGCTCTTCAAGTTCTTTCTCCATGTTTGTAATTTACACCATATCTTCAGTATAAATGGCAAGGTGGGCAGTGTATTTTTATTGTTGGGCAATGAATACTTCGACTGCAAGTAGCTGTTGCTGAAAAAGAGCCATTACATGAAAAATTCATTTATAGAAATTGTCCTACTGTAAACCTTTCCAATCTCTCTCCAATTAAAAGAAGTAACGTTGTATTCTCAGCCAGCTCAAAGAAGATGGTTTCAAGGCTTTTGCCACCTTTCTTCTGAGTATTGCATGCTGACGCAAAAATTGGAAAAAGACTTATCAATTCATTGATCCATATTCAAAAAATGTAAAGTTTTGAATACCTTAAAATATACCAAACAACCAAACATATTTCCAAATCTTATCTGAGAAACCACATGGCCTTGTGAACATAGCCCACAATGGTGAGGCAGAAACTCCAGAATATTAAGTTACGCTGTTCACTGAGTGGCCTTGAGCACGTTACTTAACCGCAATTATCATTTTCCTTTCTATAAAGACAAAAAGGATATGCCCACCTACCTTGCAGATTTATTGTGAGGGTGAAAGTTGAATATTATATAAGTGCTGGGTATTATCAGTAAATAGTATCATCACAAAAATATGTAAAAAATCTTATCAGCCCTGTTTACAAAAATGCCAAAACATGCTTATAATTTTACCCCTCTGAAGAGCTTCCTTGAGTTTTGGCTTTGTTCAGCTTTGTGCTGTTAGCTCTGATAAGAAAAGAATATATCCAGTCTTTTGGTAGTGTGGATCACTTCAACTATTTTTACATTTTTTCCTGAGTAAGCGCCATAAAGATGCATTTTATTGCAAGAGCAGCAGTCCATGGATAGGTGATAGTGGCCAAATATTAGTTCCAGAAATAGCTAGCTTATTTCTTTCCTTTAATTAGCGAAGTCTCATGAAGTTTCTCTTCATCGTCATCTTTGTGTACTGGATGAGAAAGGAACAGTTTGGCCCATGCAGAATAATAGAGCAGGATGAGACAGTATGTCTTCTCTACGAAGATTTTCATGTGCAAGGTGTAATAGGCCAAGGAAGAGATGGCTTTAAAGACGGTTCTCTGTTGTTAATCTTCTGTGCATTTGCACATGGTGGTAAAATCTCATGATGTGAGCCTCAATCTTAACCTTGAACATTCAGCTGATGGTTAGAGTCAACCACCTCAATTTCCACGTGGTTGTTGCAGGAGCACAACCTGCAACGTCTGTGCCAGCTCTACCTCGTGTAAAGGCCTAGAGACGCACTTTCCCAGAGTCTTCACAGTTGACCTTGACTAAGAAGACAGCGCTTGCGAGTATATATGTATGGGAGCTGCTCATGTTGCCTATGCAGAAGCCCCCCTTCTGTTATTTCTACTCGGCAATATAATCAGTCATGTGTATGAAGAAGGGACTTCCTTGTGGATATTCATAAATGAAGTAGAAGCAGATGTTTTTGCAGGTTTTTTGCCTTGTAACCGGATCTTTGCGTTCAATTTAAGTTATAAATGAGCGATACCCATATAAGTAGCCAACGAAGCATTATATTTGCATACATATTAAAGTAAATAAGTAAACACATAGCGTATTTAACATAGCTTCCATGAAGCCAATTATTTTTTTTCCACAGTTGCAGTTTAAAGGCATTAAATGTTGATAGAAATTAAGTTTTAAGGGGAGGGGAGAGAACTCTTATTTACATTATAAAGGCCTGTGACCTTTTTTTAATTTTACATTTTGATCATCTTTACTTTTCATTTCTATAGAATGCTCTGTCACCTCATGAAGCTGTAATCCATGTGACTCCTGACCTTTATTATATAGGAAGGCTCCTGGCTATTAACTACTGTATAAACATTAAGTACCCTGAGGCTGCCTTGCTGTTAATTGTATTTCTTTATTTTTAAGCAACGAATGTTGTCAAGACAGGAAGAACTTAAAGAACGAGCAAGAGTTCTGCTTGAGCAAGCAAGAAGAGATGCAGCTTTAAAGGCAGGGAATAAGCAGCTAACCAATACGATCATCCCAGCCCGCAATAAGCAGCTGAATGATGTAAGAAATATTGGCCAGTATGGCAGTTTACACGGTTAAAATTTATTGTACGTGCATACGCTTTTGTGGGGGGCATGTCCGTGCAGAATATTTCTTTTCCGTGCTGAATTGCTCTGATGTGTCATGTACCCTTAGTTCACTTTTAAAGCCTGTTTCTCCTGCTGTTATGGCCAACAGAAAGATGCCTTAGACTTCAGTGGAAGCAGAGGTCTGGGAGCACCTTCTTTGATTGGCACTGCGGTTTCTAATGGAATGAAAAACAAAAGTTACTTGTTAAATGATAGTGAAGTAATTTATGCTATTTTTGATTACTTCTCTTTTTTCAGTTAATGTAAATGCATTCCCTGAGCCTGTGATGTCAGCTACTTGCTGTTTCATAAGTGTTGTTGCAATGAATGAAGCTGCTTGTGACAGTCTTGTAAAAGAGTTGATGGAACAATTCCTTTTTATCACCAAAGTTGATTATGCTGGTGAGATGGGAAAGTGGAGCTGGGGAATGAGCTCCAGTGTTGAAGCAGCTATGGTTGCACCTCCAGTGGCCTCCGTGGTGACCTGGAAGGATGCATACTCTCTGGAGATGAAAGCTAATTAATTTTTATGCAAACCTTCGAAATGCGGGTTTTGTGATTCTAACTATTGCGCATTAGAGACTGTACTGGCAGCCGAGAATGTAAATGTAACTGAAAAATAATGATACAGAGAAAGGCTTGAATCTTTACTGATTCACATCTTTCAGAGCCTAGTCCTGAGGGGCAGATTCTGCTTTTTACATAAATGGGATCATACAATCAAAAAATGAAGACAGTGGGTTACATGTCTCATTTTCTTAACTGGCTAGATCCATGCTGTACTTTTTTTTTCTTAACAGTTCCTCTCCCCAAACTGACACTTCTTTTTTCATATTCATATTCATATATGCAGACAAGTCTTATTTGTATAATGGTAACATAATGATATATAAGCAATTTTTTTATTACTTTGTATTTAAGTTTTTCCTAGATAAGTATATTTTAGTGTAAATTTCACTTTGGATTTTTTTTTTAATTAGTTTTTCATCAAGCAAACAGCATTAGAGGAGGGATACTATAGGCAACTACTCAGGCAGGAACAACTGTAATTAAAGTTGCCCAATATTTTTTATTACAGGCTTCTATTTTCAAAGGTTTTACAACTTTGCTAGTATTTCTTGTTCGAGCTGAAATTTTCCCCATCAGCTCTCTGCCTCAGGGTAGTTTTTTTTTTTTTTTTTTTTTTTTTTACTTCAAAAAAGCCCTATTCAACTGTTTGTCTGTGTTAGGTTGGATAAAGCATTGGTTTATCCATGTTAAAAATGTCCTATGGGAAGAAGGTTCCATCCTCTTGAAAAATCTGTTCAAAACAATCAAAGTTGTGTTAAGAGCACAATCGTGTCAGAGAACCTTGAAGTTCAGAAAAGTTGGTAAGTGTCAGTAAAAATTGTCTGTATGAACACAGCACAGCAAGAGCATCTTTTACCGTTGCTCCCCTAAGGATCAGGGCCCATTCTGATGCAGATCGTAGTATTGGAAAGCAAAACTTTCTCTTTTAGAGTCAAACTCCTGCTGATGGAATCCAAACAGGAGGAAAAGGAGCCACCGCACTGGCGTGCAGAGGAGAGGTGCCCTGGGTAGATGGAAAGGAGGTAGATGGCAATGTGAAGTTAGACAAAAAGAAAGATTGTGTCTAGGCCATGAAAACCAGCTGAGGGATAGGAGATGGGGACAGAGTTTTCAGGGTGAGAGTCAGGATTGCATAGTTCAGGCAGCCGGATTGCCCGTGGGACCTTATTTCATTTGTTACAGAAGCTGAAAAATGAATTAGAGGCCTGCAGGAAAGGGAAGGGCAGTCTTTTAGGGCTGCTCTGCAGAGCCAAAGTTTCTTGCTGCCTCCATCAGAAGCTCTTTACAAGGTTAGGAAGGTACCTTCAATCCAACGTACTCAAGGTGGTGGATTCCTTGATTTCTGATTTCCAACCCAGGATTCTTGGGGACTGATTTCTGGAAGCTTTGAATGCACCCAGCTGTAGCCAAGTCAAGGAAAACCGTGCTGTGAACAAATGGTCCTGACCCCTCTGAAATCCTGGGTGCTCTGAGCAAACGGGTAATGGGCACTCTTGACTTGACTATAACGTAACAATAACAAAAGCTCCTCAGCTCAGAAGGGTGTTGTGGAGGTGTAATTTGGAAGCTCTTAGATATTACAGTGAAGAGTGCCACAGAAATGCTCTGGAAGAAATGAATAATTCTGTGTTCAGAGAAAAATTTAAATAGTGTATTTTAAACAAGGTGTGGGGCAGACAGTGAATGATGAGAGTAAAGGGAGATATTGAACAGTTGTTCATTCACTGAACACTGTCAGTCTTGGCCACTGAAAAAGACAAGTATCCTATAGGAAAAAAAAAGTGTGAGTTATGCCATTAAAGACTGTATGAAATGAGAACCAATGCGAGGTTGTACAGCTAGCGTAATTTCGATATTTTCTAACTTTTGAGTAGTTACCAAGCTTAACATTTTCCTAATGCATTTCAGTGGGAAACATGCATTGTGAAAGGGGGGTGTCTTTAATGGAGGCTGATATAGTATTCATATTTCATATATTATATAAAGTTGATATATAATAATATATA